CGAAAAACGTAGCAAACGCGCAGTCAACGGCATGGGCAGACTTCTTTGCTTCGTAAATTAAGAATTTCAGAATTCAATCGACAAAGGAAACATTAATATCACAAAAATTCAAGCAAAAATAATAAATAAAAACGCAAACGAAAAAATAATACACTTTTAACCGCTGTGACCATTTGGTGGCCACAAAGATAACGACGACCCCAACAACAGGGAATGAATATGTACGATGTATTTTACATATATAGTACATATGTACATACATATGTGATGTATTCGAGTGAAGATTGGGAGGACTCTAAGCAGAGTGTTTCATTTTATAAGCAAACATGTCAAATTTATAGCCACATAAGCACATGCACAGTTCAAACATACGTACACGGGTAAAGGGTGTTCTTTTTTGACGTATAATTTTAGATGAGGCTATACTTTTTTCGTAGTGTGTTTTTTTGACAGCTGTTACTTGATTTATACTCGGCTTACCATTTTATGATGGACAAACTTTCTAAAGATCCGCGTGCAAATTTATTACAAAAATAATGGTTCGGTACGCGCTAATCAACGCATGCTGCGTCCAATATTCGGTCCACATAATCGCCTAGCAAAGTCGGTAATACGAGCAACCAATCCTCGGTTACGCCCCACCTTTACTCTAGATGTGGATAATTAGCAGTCTCAGAGACATCGTACGATGTGCATTGAAGGCGCTATTGCTGTTGTGGTGGAGAGTATCGAACCCGTATGACAACTGGAGCTGTGCCCATTCACTTTGTGGAAGATTTTGCCGGTTGACCTTGGCTTATGGGCTTACCAATTACAAGACGTGGTAAAATTTATACGGAATGATGATCAAGCGCGTCGCGTATTCGGTGAGTGGGATCAGTATGAGATCGCCAACGATCACGATTTTCACAATACAATTTGGTCACTGATGAAGCTCACTTTTGGTTGAATGGGTATGCTAATAAGAAAAATTGTCGCATTCGGAGTGATGATAACCCACTAACTATTATTAAGACGCCGTTCCAGCCCAAAGAAAGTCACAGTTTGGTGCGCTCTATGCACAGTGGAAATTATGGGTTCATATTTCTTCAAAATGGAAGCCGGTCATAATGTTAAAGTTAGTTGGGAAACCATATAGACCTATGATTAATGACTTCTTCGTGCCTGGATAGGAGGTTGTTGATGCGATCTTTGTCTCCAACAAGACGGTCCCCTATATGCCATACACGGCCAACGAAACAATATATTTATGGAAGAAAACTTCGAATGCCTCTGGCGTGGTCTCCACAATCGTGCGATTTAACACCCTTGAACTTTTTTTTTTTTTTTTTTTTTTGAGGTTATGTGAAGTCGCTTGTCTAGGCAGTTAAGCCCGAGACTATTATTGGCTTGGAAGAGAATATTCGGGGAGTTATTGCTGCCAAAATCTTTTCTTAAAAATATTGGCACACCCGGATCTTTTTAATAAAGCTAATTTTTTTAATTTCTTCTTGATGGCCACATGTCCAAAAAAACACCCTCTATGTACATATGTAAATTATAATTCATAATATTAATTTTGGCATCACAAAAATTTCATTCAGACAAACTAACGTTGGTACATATGTATGTATATACATATATATTATTAGCCATCAGCGAGTGGCAAACAACTTGATTGTGTTGTTGCAATATTTGAATGCAACAAACGACATGCCTGGGAAATTATTTCCTGCATCATATGCAACGCGCCTTCATGCAGCGCCAACCCCTTTAAGATTCCAGCAAGAAAAGACACCACAATTCAAAGTCGAGCATTGGCCATGATAAACACACGGCGTTGCCGGCCGGCCGGCCAACCATCCGGCATAGTGACGATCAATAATGTCGATCACATTTGTGTACGTACGACCGAGTACATACGTGTGTGCATACATATTTACGAACTTGTTTATGTGGACTTGTAGGCTGTTGCTTGACTCTTTTTTGTTTATTTTTCCTCGAGACATATCGAAAAACAATTCACGATCCCGTCGTTGGGTCGGAGGAAGATCGCCAGGTTTTCTTTTGATTAAAAAATCACAAAATAATAAACAGATAATTTGAACATTTTATGTGCATACATACATAGTAAGTATTTTCGTATTACATATGTATATACATATATGTATATATAATATAATGTATTGAATTGGGTGGCAAATCGTTTGATTCGTTTATTCGGTAAGTATGTTGTGACTTAGTACCTTGTTAACGGTATTTTACATTATTCATATACGAGTATGTGGTGCCGTGAGTTCACGCTGAAAAAAAGTTCAAAAATTTCAAAAATAGCATGAATATGCTTCAATATCTATAAAGTAAGTGCGTTGCTTCCAGCGGATGTTTATCATTAGGGCTGAGGATCGCTTCAGAACAGAACGACGGCCTTCATTGAATTCACATTGGAAAAAATTCAAAACCTGCGGGAAATTAGAATATTAAGTAGAGGGTGCTTTTTTAGACGAATGGTTTTCAAGGAGAAATTAAAAGCCCATAATTTAATGTTATGGCCAAGAATTTAGTTTGCCATTATGTTTTAAAAATAATTTCCGGAAAGTGACCGCCGAGAGGCCCAATTTTCATCTACTATTTACAGGGATTGGGGTCGTGAAATAGCAATAAGGCACCGAGTATTCTCTTCTTGGCCCATTCACCGTTCACGAGTTCGATTTGTAAGCCCGAAAACCAAGACCATTCCTCAAAATCTTCTATAAAGCTCCAATTGTTGCACACGTGGCGAATGAGCACTGTACGGCGTCCACTAGATTAAAATTGGTGTGAAACCGATCTATGGTTGATGGCAATACTGACGGCCTTGTCGACTAAATATTGGACGCAGCGTACAATGTGTTGCTCAAACCGTACAATCATTTTGTAACTATTTTGCACGCTTCGCAAATGATTTTCTGGAATAAGTCTGTTCATTACGAACCAAACTGAGTACAAAAACAGGTAACAGCTATCAATAGGATTTCCATCGTTAAGGCACATTTTATTTTTTTTCGCAACAACAAGAGAGTCCTACAGTCTATTCTAAGCCGTCTCTGAACGACTAATGGATTTTTGCGAGGAGCTTTCTTCTGCAATACAACCGGAGTGACTGTTCTATAATTTTGAGTGTCGGTCTAATCAGTATTCGAACTCACGATCTCATATATGATAGCACACTGCTAACCATTAAGCTACCGCTATAGCCTAGCTAGATCTGTAGGAGTATTATGCGTCTTCCTAAATTAATCATTCTTTTTTTCTTTTTCAAACTAATTCTTCATTTGATTCTAACTCGACTAGCATGTAAGAAAATAATTCCTACTGGGTCGGCATACCTGCCTAATGACATGTTCGGAACCCACTTCAAAATGTTCAAAGCGAATTGGTAACCAAATTTAAATAGAAGGAGACTAATTTCAAATTTGTTGATAGATCTATCGATGACAAGAAATCTCTCATTGGCTTTGCTGTTTTCCTATCAAAATTCGTAGAATTCTAAATATCGTCTGCAGAATTAGAAATTTAGAATGCTTTCTGTCATAAACAGTCAGTTCAGAGAAAAAAATGGTTCCTTTTTTCATTTTTGTTTGTCTTTTAATTTAGAAAGGCGACGACCATTATAGCTGAGTGGTTAGTAGTACGTATTGCCCTATTGAAGGCCTTGTCCGATCAACGTCCAAATTAAATTTTTACACTCCGAGGTCTTGAATTCTACTATATTGGCACAATCGAGATACTCGCTCACCTCATGGTACGGCGGAACGAAGCCCGTCAACAAAAACAAGAATGGTTTTGCACAAGATGCATTCAAACTACTGACTCGACTTATAACTTCTATAAAAGCACGAGTTCATTACAGTCAGATGGATTATTCAGTTTTCGGAGGAGGCACATCTCCAGTCTGCTGAATTCCAGCGGAAATGAAAAGCTCTGGCATGGCTCACGTAAATCCTTAATCGGTAATGGTTAACTATGTAGAAATTCTACGTATGAGGGCCAAATGATCACCACTCGAAAAAAAACCGATTACCTTACCTCATTGTTCATTTAAAAACTGCAGAAAGTCCAAAAAAAAGACCTGCTCAGGCTGTGAATGTATCTGACTTTCTTACACTGAATTCTTTCGAATCCTGAAAGCCCGATCCTTTATAAGAGCGTACAACTGCTGGCGCTTGTCGACAATATTGATAAACTTCAAGAACTGCGTCTTGCTTTCTCCAGGCTGTAGGGGGAAGCGAAGAGAAAGGATCCGGTATTGAACAAGAATGTTTATCATTCGTTTTCTGCAGGAATTTTTTAAAACAATTTTTCGTGATCAACCTTATTTATCATTTCAATTAACCGTTGTATTATTATTTTTTATTTTTGTCTCCATAATTACTAGTTTAGTGAACATTGCACAAATATATACAGCTAGCTTAACGATAACAGCATATTCCACCACCTCTTTTACTTACTTAACGGGCAGTTTAGCAGAGATAAGAACCATTTGATGCTCAATTAGCGAAATAAATAGTTTTGGAAATAATTTTCAAATATTGCGTATACCGTAATCCGTAATCGAAGCAAATTATAATGTTGTTGCAAAGCAAAATAAATGCACAGTTTATTGTTAAAATTATATTTCAATAAAAAAAAAATTTTTATAAACAAACAAAATAAATTTAAACACATTTCAATTTTTATTTACGGTACCACCCTACAATGTGGTGAATACTATTGTCAAACTCTTTAACAGTGATGCCTACACTTTGCGACTGATCAAAAGTTTTGGTAGATCACAATATACTGCAAGAAAAATCTCTTAAGTTCGCTCCAACTGAATACTTCGTTAATGTATTTTACTTAAAAACTTCAATTAAACTTTGCTATTTATTGCGTTTAAGGTTAGAAGTGGTAGGTAGCACATTAAGTTTGTGTGCGTAAGCAAATGCCTATAGCTCTGAAGTTCACCACACGGCTCATTTTTTACCCTCAATGTGTTACCAACACTGCATCGATCAACAGTTCAACAAAAACGCTTCTGCAAGTGGTAAAGTTGTGTCAAATGCGCGGATGAATGTTTCATGCGAAAAGAAGAAGCGAAGCAATAAAGGAATTACAAATTAGTGAATCATAAATTGTGCTACTGCATTTGCAAATTAAACAATTTTTCTTATATATGTGTAGTAGAAATAGTGCAATAATTTTATAGAGAAGTGAAAACCTAAGGATTTTCTTAGTGATTACAAATAAAAAAAGGTTACTTATTTGCTGAAAGCTGCAAGGAAAGTGGATTCGCGCAGACGCGATAGAGAAAAGGAAAAAATCGCCTGCGTCCGTGAAAGAGCGGTTGGTGAAGAAATAAAATAAAATTGGTAAAACAAAAAAATCAAATCCACAAGTTTACACGCGAAGGCCTAATTGCAAAATTGCAATCTGTAATTGTGTTTTGTGAAGACTTGGTGATTTTGGAGTAAAACAAGTCAAGTATAAATCATTTATTGGTGATCTCAGTGGTTTTTGGTTGCGTTTTGCTATATAAATACATATATATCTGCCAGCTGTAGGCGAAGTGTGCGAATTATTGTGTTGAAGTGCCGCTAACTAGCTAAAAGAAGAAAAAAAGGAAAAAATAACAAAATGGGTTGTGCAGTGAGTACATCGCGCGATAAGGAGGCGGTGGAACATTCGAAAAACATCGACCGAGTGTTGCAAAGGGATGCAGAACGAGCGGCAGCAGAGGTTAAATTGTTGCTATTGGGTGCGTATTTCTTCATACTTTCATCTCTAAATAAATTTAACTATGTGTATATAAACAATTATTAATTTCAATACCAAGTATTGAAATGATTAGCCAAACTATACCGAACCGTTGTTGTTGCTAGTAGTATATGACAACTACTAATAACTCACATTTCGCCAACCAAACTCATTGTTTATTATAATTTCTCTTACACAAACTAATTCTGGGAATGTGTTTAAAGTTATACACCTACCTCTTTGGGTTTTTCTAATATAATAACAATTTGTAGAATGCTAAAGAGCATTAAAAACGTCTCGCCGACTGTAATAGCGAAATCTTTTGTTGCAATAATTATTTGCTGGTTAGTTGTTGTTGCCGGTCGATGTGCGATAATTAAGTTGAAATTATCTACAGTGTTGTTATATACATACATATATACGCATAGCATGAACACATAAACAAATGTACACCTATGTACATACATACATACGAAAAGTATCTCATCGCTTTCAGTAGAGGTTTTGTGGTGGAATATGTATACATTTTATACCTGTGTGAAAAAGGTGTGTGTGGTGAAAATGTATCTGACTCGCAGCCGTTTAATTTTTTCCCGTTTGCTTTGCGGAGTTGCGCTTGCGTGCTTATTTGTAGTACAGCAGACATCATAAAAATATGCATGTTCATATTGCAAACGACAGTAGACTTCGGTGTGTATGTACATATGTATCATACTACATATGTATGTGTACATATCCATATATAAGTCGCAGAAATAAATATTGCAGAGTTCAAAAATCAGCTCATATCTATTTAAACTGAAAGGATTTTGAATTTGATACATCAGTTAGGCAAGCTACATACATATATATATATATATATATATATATTTATATAGTACGTAGGTAGCTAATATCCTTTGCCATTTCTTGAGAGAAATGAAGGGATTTTTATTTCAATAGGAGGATCTGTCATTAATCACGTATTCTCTTGATGAAGCTTTCCATCACCAAATCGCAAAGTTACTGGTAGATGACCTCAATAGCTTCACGATTCCATGATTTAAGTCTTGAATCGAGTTTGGCCTACTGGCGTAGACCTTATATTTCGGTCACCTCTTCTACAGATAACACAGTCCGGAAACTTCTCTCTTAAAAGATCGATGGTTTCAACAAAAAATCTTGGGCGTGGGCATCGAGGGGGAAATGGGCCTCATCAGTAAAGATGACTTTTCGGAGGGATTCCGGATCATTCTCATGCATTTCAAGAATCCAATCGCGACGTTGTTGATGATCGGCCAGCTTGAGCTTTTGTGTTATCTGAACTTATTAAGCCTTAAGACCTAAGTCCATTAGGGTGTGATAACCTCTGTGGTACGGCCAATAGAAAAGAACGACGAGGAGTGGACAAACACTTCAACACTTTAGCTTACAGCAACAATATTCTCAGTTGTTCTTGAGTGAGATGTACGTGTTATACTCTTCACATCGCTAACTTGTTCCAACAGCTTGTATTGCGCTCCGACAAGATATTTCACGACTGTCAGGTTTTCACCATTTTCATAGTTCATTTTAATAATTTCAGTGCGTTGTTGAAATGTGTATCGTTCCATTTATACTACTGGCGTAGTTTTTACTTGTAAAATAAAATCTACCATAATAATAGCCTATTCCAAATAACAGCTCTTATTGGAAAACCCTTTACTCGTATATAAACCAAAATCAATATTGCCACAACTCGTTTTAAAGTGTTGACATCCCAGCGTCAGCGTTGCTTAGCAATAAAAAAAATAAAAATTTTTATTATTAAAAAAAAATGTCACGTAAATCACGCATATTCATAAACAATAAAATACTTAAGCCCAATAAAATTAAAGCCTCATAAATAATTATGCGTGTCTGCGTTTATTCTGATTTACATAAATAAGAGTAAAATCCGTTTATAATTACACTCGTAAATACTTATCTCAAACTGTTTCCGTATAAGATAGCATTTTACAATTCTTAGATGATAATGATGACAAAATTTGTAAATAAGTGATTCTGGAAATTAATCATATATGTAAATAGTAGATATTACATATATAAAATGCGCCGTGCATTAAAATAATTTAAATAAATATTAATTAGTTAATTAATATAATATATTTCTATATTCTAGAGGGTTTGAAATCCTTTGGTCCTCTGATTACCACTCACTGCACATCTCATACATAGGAACCTGCAAATTTGCTTTTTAATCGACTGAAAATGAAGCGCCATAATAAATATTTCTCAAGGGGTTATATAGGTCTTGAAACTTCAAAAAATTAATTTTTTTTCATAATTTTTTGTATAAAAGTAGAAAGTGTGGGGAATATATTCCCCAAATTTCAAGTCAATCGAGACGTAACTGTAGAAATAAGAAAATTTTATAACCCGCTTAAAATCACTTTATCGAAATCGGTAGTCAAAATTTCTCAACGACTATTGAAGCGTTAGAGCTCAAATTTTCCACACTTTTTTAAGCATGTTTTTGTAGTCTCTGAACGAAGGATTTATTTTATCTTTGATTTAAACTCACTTTAGAGGCCAATATGTGGCCTAATTTTGTGCAAAAAAATGACGTTTTTTGTTAAAAACACTAAAAAATTTAATTTTCATTTTTTTAAAAATTTTTTTTCGTTCAGAGACAAGGAAAATTCATCTACTTTAAGTAAAAATTTGGATTTTTGATTTCCGATAAAAATTGAAAAAGTTATCATGACTACCGCGAAAGCACTTTCTTGTGGACGGTCTACCTCACGACACTGCCAACGCCTTAACTTATAGTATTTTTCATACAAATTTTCATCAAATGTTGTCCACATATTGTGCTTTTATATGTAAACAAAATAAATTGCATACTTTATTTACTTTATTTTAAAAAAATTAATGAAAATAAGTTTTTTTTTTGGCCTTCAAGACCTATGTGACCCCTTAAAGCATTCACATAGGAGAAAATATCCGTCCCTCCTTTATAAAAGTGATTAAATTCACATTTAGTTTCCGCATGAAAACTGAAAGGAAAATAGACTGAATTTCCTTTGTAATTCGGAATTAAATTAAATTAAGAAGTATGAATGTACATATGTAGGTTTGTGTATCTCACGCCTCATTAAAATTTTCTCTCCCTTTTTTTTTTAAGAATTTAATAGCAAGGAAGAATAGTAACTACACCAAGCATACATACATACATATGTACAAATGTATATAAATAAATATATATTTGTATATTTTCCTATATTTTCCTATAATTCTCAGCACACGCCTATTCACCTGTTGTTTCTATTAGATCTCAAAGGTACTTACTTATATACATGCATACGTATGTATGTATGCATCTAACACTTGTTTGCATTTGTAACATCATCCATTTTGACCTCAGCTGTATTTTTGTTGATGTTCAAGTACATATGTATGTATGTATGTTTGTATATGCAAGAAACAAGAAACAAGACAGCAGCTGGTTATTTCTTAACGAACAATGAACTATAAAATGTGATGTTCACACGATTAAAATCCAACTACAAATATACAAACAAACATGTGCATATATTTTATTTACTAAGGAGATTGCCTAACGACAAATACAGGTTGATCCATTTCAAGGCTGCCTACTTTTTTTTAAAGAAAAACTTCAAAAATTTCATATATAAAGGGAAATGTTTATGATCATCCGAAAGAACAATCTTTAGCTTTTATTTTTTGAAGATTATCTCTTTCAAATGTTGGCCGCATCCCAAATGGCACATCTGTTGAGTTGAATTTCCGATTGGTAACAGACGAATGTTATACGTGATGACCACAGGAAAAAGTCTAACGGTGTGATAGCACAAGATCATGGTGGCCAATCGATTGGCCCAAGACCTTAAATTATCTGTTCACCGAAAAGTTGTGTACATAAATCCACTGAGCTCCCAAGCTTGCATTTCAGTCATCAAATAGTCGGTTATCATGTCGTGATAACGGTCACCATTGACGGTTATGTTTTTATCGGCATCAATTTTGATGAAATGTTGACCTATACTTCCGCCGGACAACAAACCACATGAAACTTTTGTTTTTTTTTGTGTATGAAATGGCAACTCTTAAATCTCTGTAGGTTGTTATTCGTCCCAAATGCGGCACTTTTGGTTGTCTACTCAGTGGCGGCCGAGGTAGCCGCGTGGTTAGCATTGCGTACTGACATTCGGAATGGAAAATTAATGTATATAAAAAATTAAGCTAAATTTTCTAATTGCGGTCGCCTCTGGACAACTTCATCAGTGTTTTTTTAGTTCACATGGAAGAGACACTCTTAAAAACTAAGAAAAAAAGAACTGTTCGACTGTGTCAGATGCATCGGCACCATTTCACGAGCTCCACCTACAGCAGTTTCAGAAAACTCTTTACAGAAGTGGAAAATTTATATTTTTTTTTACACTAAAAACTATTTTCGTGAAGCTTAAGTAGGACACCTAGCGTAATTGCCTAAAAAAGGTGATTTTTTGGGAGTTTTCATTAAAAAAAAATACCTAATTGATTATTTCAAAATTTTACGAATATATTTATACATGTTTCAAGAATATACAGTGAAATTTTTGAAGACAAAAAATTAAATATTTTTTAAGTTATATTCGATCTCCAACGGCGCGGAAAGAGGCCCTTCACTGCTGCAGTGATTCCGGCCTTCTCCGTAGATGAAATCTAAAAAAAAGAAATTCTCTGCTTGATAATATTGTCTGTACAATGACCTACGATAAAAAAAAATTAAAAATTGACAATATGGCTGCGTTTAAAAAAATTGTCGAATTTTACTCAAATTTTTGGTCGTTTTTGGCCTGCCAAAATTCGATTTTTTGACCAGATCAAAAATCGATAAGTCATGTAAAAAAAATTCTATAGTGATCGGTACATTTGTTTTTGAGTAATCACTGCAGCAAATTCGGAAAATGCTGTTTCGAGAAAAACGCGTTTAAAGATATTGTAAAAAGATCGTTTTCACTCGTAGCTAATGAGACT